CTTTTAATTGTGTAACAATAGACTCCGAGACAAATTTTTCAAATCAGTATAACCACTTTTGATCCAAACTTTGTCGCTAGTATTAGATGTGGCAAATAAAATGCATGGCCAACAAAACAATTTATTTAATGTTATACTACCCGTAAGCCAGTCAAACTTTTCGTACCATGCATTTTGAAATCCCCGATTTGGTTTCCCGACGCCACCGATAGAAACAAGATGTTTACTTAAATCTGGAATAGGTCGTTTTACGACTTTACTATATATAATTTATCTTCATATGAATGACTTAAAAAATTCTGCTGATTGACTAAAAAATTTACGAGATCACAAGTATTACGAATATTTACATTTACCTGGGAAAGTTGTGACGAAGTGCTCGGTGCTAAATCCATTTTCTCACTAAAACCGAAAATCCTGCAGACAAAAACTAACCCACCAAATTATTAAAAAAACTTAATTAGAATTGCACTTATTATATAACATGTAATCTTACTGTTTTTTTAGTGGAAAAACAACACGAGATACGTCAAACGTGATCCTGCCGCACAAAGAGGTCAACAGGAAGTAATTTAACTACTACTTACTCTTACTACAACAATTTTGCAGAAATGTTCCAAATGTACCAATGTTGCCAATCTGGTAAATGCATAGAAAAAAAATATTTTTTTGTTAAATCGGAAAACAATAGAACAATATGTATAGTACCATCTACTCAAGGAAAATACTGTACTACAACATAACAATGTTGTTACAATTTTCAAATAAAAATCTATGTTTTATTTAAAATGTACTTTTATACCGCGAGGGAAAAAATGTAGCGAATTGGGTACCTTTGTACCCAAACGGCAACGCTGCTAATTAAAAGAACTACACCAAACGAGAGCGGCATGCCTCTCTTTTTCGGTGAAATAGTGGGCAGAAAATAAATAAATCATGTTGAATTTCGCTAGATAATGTGATGTCTAATATGTCAGACAGAGCAATGCTGTGAGGCTTGCCTCGGCGGCTATAATTTTTAAAGAGAGAATGAGATGCACAGATGATATATTAGCTGCTGGCGCGGAGCCGTTGTTTATTTAATATTTTTTGGTTTAAGCTTGTCCCTTGTCCGACCCGTAGATTATGAAGAAATATACAAAGATAAGACATCGGGGTGTACATATTTTAATTTTTTATCATAATGAAAATAAAGTTATTTAGAAAATTCCAAAAAGTTAAATTGTAGTTAAAAAACGTAAAGAGTCGATTGATACTGGTGAGGCGCTGCCTCACCTGCCTCATAGGACCAGCCGCCCCTGATTTCATGTGACATCTGTGGCATTAATATGAAAATAATAACCACTACTAATTTTGTTTTTCATAAACAAAAAACAACCTTATACTGCTTGGGTTACAATAAAAAAGTATAGGCTTACCATAATTATGAAACTCTTAACCGGGACAGTAAATGGTGGATAGGGTAAAGTATAAAAAAAAAACGATTAAGCTGCTGCCAAAAAGTTTTATTAATATAATACCTATTTTTTGTACAATTCATACTTCTCGCTTGTATGTACTCTTTTTAATAAAATGCTATTTTTTTTAGTTTTTCGTAAAAATCGTTACATGTCATATTAAAGTTTAATTTACAGTATAGTAATGCTTGTACGGTAGACTCCAACATACGGCTTCTACCGTCCGATCAAATATGTTTCATCATCGAGAAGACACGCTCTAAAGGAGCGGAGGTGCCTGGTAAGCACAAAATATATTGCACCATTTTTACCAGGTTGGGTGTATCGATGTGTTGCTGATGAAAATGTTTAAATAGCAAACACATTTGTCAACATAATCAATTTGTATCGTCGTGGAACTCCATTAATCATTCTTTGATGCTATAAAAACTTTCGTGACAGTGCGTCAAAAAGGTTGTCAGTATTAGTATTTTGTCGATCGTCCGAACCGTGTATTTTGTTTATAATTTCAGCAGATCCTTCGATTTGGTCCCATTTCAATACGTGATTCAGTCCAATCCATTCGAAAATGTCGGTTCTTCCGAAACTGTCTTCCCACAATTCAATGTATGAAATGCATCGTCGGTAAAAATCAGTTACTTTTGTTTGAAATTTATCAATATCCTGGCTACTACCAAGATTCTTTAATAATAATTGTTTCGCTCATTGTGGTACAACATTGCTGTCCATGCGTTTTTAGAGATTAGATTTCAATCTTCTTAATTCCAAAATAATGTCAGTCGCACTTGCTTCACTTTTTTCATGAGTAGTACAGTCTTGTTAAAATTGTTTAATTGTCCATGCACAAACCAAAAATATAACTCAACCGTTTCACTTTCAAAAAAATCTCGCATTGCACGTGGACAGTTATCTCTTGAGAAAGGAAATATGCTTTTAGTCCTTCGAATATATTTAGAATTTTCTCAATTGCCGGCAAAAGAGAAAGAAATCTTGTACTTCCATGTTAGATGAGGTTTTTATATTCCACATCTACACATTCACAGAATTCCTTCAACTGAGTTACTCGAACTGTGTAGATATGAAAATGTCTATATATTTTGACAAGTAGTGCTTCAATTTCGATTGGTAAACCATCCACAGCATTTTGAAGTGCATTGTGTACAATATGTGCGCCACATCCAATTCCTACAATATCTACACCGAGTTTTTGTTTAAGTCTTCTGTAAACATTATTGAAGTTATACTTCTATACGCACGGTCGGCGTTGGAAATTTGCATGATAGTGAATCTGTGAAACCATTACATATGTAAGATAATGAGTAAGAGAGAGACAGAAGATATATTTTCTCTCTTCCTCTCTCGAGAATAAAAATGTTCCTTTTGTATATTATTATCATAATATAATATGTATTAATATTATTTATGTGATATGTTTTGTATTAATTATTAAACGTTTATAATTATTTTAGGCTTTTGTATTTCAAAATAATCACTGTTCTACCGAAAACTGTCAATTTTGAAATCCGGTAGTGTCATGTCTAATTGACAAATCCTTTACGTGTTTAGTTCATACGCTGGTGGTTGTGAGTTCGAATCCCAATTATGAATTTATAACGCAAAAAACATAAATTTTAAAATAAAATGAAAATTTAAACATAATCCGAGTTGTTGGTTTTTTATTTTTATCTTCGTAAAGTAAGTTATGTAGATTGGCAGTTTTAAATACTTATGAATATTACATTTTAATTTATATTGTATTATTATATTGAATTATGTTGCAGTGTATTTATTGTATTGTATTTTTTATATTAATAACAAAATAAACAATGAATTTTATTGCAGAGTATGTGTCAATTGTTTTTTGCACTCAACTCCTTTTATAAATATATGTAAAATAAAAATATATATTTTTATTAAAATATTGATACAATCCTTCATTTATTATACTCCTATTACAGGTCAAATATTTATCTACAGCAAACGATGCACCATATACTTATATAACTAATTCTTTTTCTCTTTCTGCTCTCTCTTACCTATAGCATTACATATGTAATGATTGTGCAGATTGTACAGACTCCTATACAAATTTTTAACGGCGAACGCGTGTATAGTATAACTCTACCAGTAGTCCCACTGGACTGCCACACCCGTTTTTTTTTTTGTCCTCTTCAATGCACACCTCCAAAATATGTATTACAATTGTCGCCACAAAATGCAGCTTTTTTATAATGTCATGACGACGTAATGTTGAAATTATATTTTGAGTCAATATTTCCAATGTCTCACCCTGAATGGACTCAAAATTCAATAGTTTCACATGTACACCTTCTAATGGTAAAATGTATCTAACAATCATCGGTGCAAGTTTGATGTGCTTTTTATTTAAGGTGTCGTTAGTAACACTTACGAAAAAAGCCTTCTGTAAGTCGGTGTGTAACTCTGACAAAAACAAAGGTGCCAACACATTTAAAATGATCGTTTCACATTTGGTTCTCGCAACCCCAAATTTTGATTCAAAAATTTTGAAATCAATTTCGACGTACAATCAGATGCTTTGAAGCTTATATCATGCATTGCCGTGTGATAAGCAAATGTGGCCTCTTTAGCTGCAATAATTAAATCGTTTTGAATGGGAACATCATTTAAAAAATAATTAATAGAAGAAGTACTTGCAATCGCCGTTACACCAGTCTTGTGTTTTGCACACTTTAAGTGATCTTTAATATCTGCTCGCCCACCGTGTGCAATTGAAAATTCTGAAAAACATTGGTAGCATTTCACCCTGCTATTGTCACTACAAAGCTTTTTTTATAAAAGGTGAATTTGCAATTGCTTTTTAAATCACAGTTCACAAAAAAACGAAATGTAATCGCCCTGCAAATGACTAGGGTAAACTGAGATCTGTTTCTTTTTTTAATTCATCAATTCTTGAATTTTTAATGTTTATATTCGTTAACGACTCACTGAAATAATGTGTTTAAGAAATGTGATAGGGTGAATTGCTAAATTGGTCATTTTAATGATTTCGAGAATTAAGCACGTCTTCTGTGGGAACCCTATTAAAATATCTTATTAATCAGATGTGCAGTCATCATTATTAGGATTGTTTATATAATACGAACGTGAATAATCTTATTTATTATCAGTAAATATGAATCCAGGAGGAAAAAATCATTCCTATGAAATCACTTAACAAAAATTCAAAATTACGACAGTTTTGTTAAACCGGGACAAAATGACAAACAGGCCGGGACTCCGGGACAATCTTGGTTAAACTGGGACGTATGGTAAGCCTAACAAAGTATACTTAATTCAGAATCCAAACATAAATAACAATTACTATGAAATATATCTAAACATAGATTAATAGTTTAATGTGTGTAACGAGAGACTAAAAATACCAAAAGTTTTAAGAATTAACTTTTAATTGTTGCAAGTATCTGTGCCATTCTGAAACCAGTTAGTACCATATACATACTAATTTAACATGTGATCATTCCATTTGGGGAATATATTGCATAAATTGATAAAATACCATTTCTCAATTAGAAGTTTATGTAACAATTTGAATAACTTAGATAAAAAATATTAAAATACAATAGTTAAATATCCGAAGTTTTTGTTGCTACATAAAATCGTCGTATTCATCATAATCGTTAACGTAAGCTGATAATTGTGAAAATTGCTGAAAAAAAAAACAAAAGGAAATTAGTTGAGAATTGTAATTTGAAATGGTTAAATTTTTCTATTTGTATATATCAGACATGGGCAAACTATTTAAGTGGGGGGCCACATAAAATAAAAGCATTCTATGTGTATATTATGTGCATAAATGGTAAAAACATTATTAAAAAAGTGACATAGATTCATCTTTAGCAAAGTATGAAGTTATATGTAGTATATGAAACTGATTCTGCGCTTCTAAAAGTTGTTCATAATCTGGCAGAAACTGGGATGAGCTGGTTGGCAGGAGTGAAGCTAAGTGCTATTCAGAAAATTGATTTCTAATACTGCTTTTGCGAAGCTTCATAGTAGAAAACACCTGTTCACAGATGTAGGAAGATGCAAACATCGCAATTATATTCTGATCATCAAATTTCATGTTTGGGAAACTTGATTTTGACAGGGCCCTGTAGAACACAGTTTTAGAAACATTGAGAAATAGCTGCTTCAATTCAGTTTTACATTACAACTCAATAAGTTCGAGCTGCAATTCTGGTTTTATTAATTCACAGTCCACATTAAACGGCATGCTGAAAATGTCCAGATGCTGTTGGATAACTTAACATGAAGACATTTAACGCTTTTCTCATAGCTTTTAAGATTGTGTTCCCCAACTGTAATAGTTTTTAGCTTTGGACAATAAGTAAGACCTTTACATTTATTTAGATACAATTATTTAGAAAATAAATTGCATTTTGAAAGCCCTGATATGACCCCAAATATCATGGAATAATTGATTTCTTCCCAAGAGTTTAAGGTTTAATTTATTGATGTGACTGAAACGATCTGTAAAAAATGCCAAGTCCGAAAGCCATCTTTCAAATCTTCACACTCATCCATTCCTTTTTTTCGATGAAGAGGATTATTTCATCTTTAAGATCACAAACGCGATCAAAAACCCGACCTGCACTTAGATATCTTACTTTATTGTAGTAAAGTACATCAGAATATTTAGACTGCAATGAATCAAGAAACTCCTAAATTGTCTATGATTGAGAGCTCGTGAATAAATGCTTTGCTCCTGCCATATTTGGTGCTCCACCAATAGTTACAAATATTGCTCACAGGTACTTTCAAAGATGTGATAGTTTCTTTAAATTCTTGAAAAATATGATCATTTTGTCATTCCCTTCATTGGATGCATACAAGCTAATTCTTCAGTAACACAAAGTTTTCATCAATACATCTTTTAATAAATATAAGTAATTGAGTCACATCTATATTTTCAAGCTGCCCATCGATTACTTTAATCCTAGAAGTAATTGGTTTTCAGGATAAATTTTCTGTCTCTTTCTTTTTGTTAGAACCTCAGGACACAATACTTCACACACTTGGAGCATACAAGTTTTTACACATTCACCATCAGAAAAAGCTTGGTTATTTTTTGCAATATAATACGCTACAACTAAACTTGAGAAGAATTTTGTGTTTTAAAATCTTTTGCTGACCAGACAATTTTTAAAGTATTGCTCCTGCTTTTGCTTTCGTCGTTTACTTTCCTCAAATAAGATCGTTTAATTCCTTAAATACAGCTACAGCATTGTGTTTTAAAACATGACATTCTGAATCAACTTTACGTTTTTTAGTTATTTTAACAATAAGTCACGAAACATTACAAATAAAGCAAAACTATAGAAACAGTTTTCACAGAAAATTATCCACGCACACAGATGCTAAGATGGATTTCATGCATAAGAGACTGTTTGAATGATCGAAATAAACAGAACGGACCTTGAAAAAAAGGTGAAAGTACAATGGTGTCGCCCGATACGTTCCTAACTTAACAGAGCAACACTCATACTCATTATACTCAAAATCGCCTGTCACCATGATAATTTTTGGGATTCTCAACACCATGTTGCGGGCCTGATTGAATAGCTCAAAGGGTCGCACTTGGTCCGAAGGACGTACTTTGCTCATGTCTGGATATACTATACATTCTTTAAATTTGCATAAAATTTAACACATTCGAAATTTGCACAAAATGTTTACAATACCAAAAGGACAATCGAGTTCGCGCGCTATCAACTAAATGTTCTGATAAACAGAACATTATTGAATATTGTAATTTACATATATAAATTAATAAATTTAAAAAATCTCACACATACTCGCCATGGTCAATGGGCAAATCACAAACAGCTGTATTACAACTACAAGGGATGTATGGTACAGGGAAGAAAGTGTTGTCTTAAGTGATGCTCCAGAGAGCTGTCGAACTTTGGGGATTATTATAGCCTTAGCATGGTAAGGGCTCACTGCTGTGACAGAACTTATTTTCGACACATTGGGCAAATATGAATGACGAGATAAAAAAAAAGAGATAAGAGCTCAGAAGAGAAAAATGAGTAACTTTTCTGAGCTTAAAATTACAAACACAACAGGAAAGATCAGAAAGGCAACTCCAGTCGCTGATTCTGTATCTACACCGTACATATACACGATCCTGATACTCAACTAGATCAGGCTCATGCAGACCTGACCATCAATAAACTGGAACAAGCAGTTTATGAGGCTCCTACAGGAAATCAGAATCAACTTCTGTAGTTCCATAATAATTATTCAGTACAAGGATCCTGTGGGTTATGCATAAACTGTGTTAATGCATATACAAAAAAATGGACTACTGAGGTGGTGATAAATATCATCCTAAGGAAGGCCTGTAGGAGGGAGCAAACTTAAATGTAGTTGATCCTAAATCAAGGCATAAGACGAGTTCTTAAAAATATAAAGATCGGGGAGGACGCTCAAATCCAATTCCACATGATCGACAAGGTCTCCTACAAAGTATGGGGGCTGCTCATTTTAAGTTGTATTATAGACTTCGCAAGGTATCCTTCAAAAAACTTCAGAGGCATCAATGCTCAAATTTATGAGAAGCTTCAATATAGCTTTAATATAAGAGCACTGTGTTTACAAAGGCAATCTAAGAGGTCTATTGGAAATTGATGGAGAGCTTATGCATAGCAGATCTGCCAATTCTTACATTTCTAATTTCAATGAACCACATATTAATTATACTTACATTATCACCTTCAATGTGAAGCTTCGCTTTGCCTTTTCCTTTATTCTTTTTCGCCTTGTCACCTTTTTCTATTTTTTGTTTTTCCAAAAATAAATTATCTAATGAGTTTTTAACTTTTTTAATATCCAAAGATGACACTAAAACAAAAAAATAAAAATTAAATTATATACTAAATTACAAAATTGTCAGAAGATATTATTAAAGTATAACACGGAGGGGCTAAAAAATATGTAATATGTATTTGTTTTTGGAACGCTACTTTGAAATACTTGCGATTTCATGCATAATCAAACTATTATATCATTTTCCAATACAAGTGACCCATATCTAAGCAATTTCAACTGTATTATATCCCCCTAAAAATAGGTATTTCCCTAATCATAACTTTAGAATACTTATTACCTGCATTTAATTATGCAGATAATCCAAAATATTTGTCATGCATAGGCTCCGTTGTTAATTATTGTTGCCGAATGATGTTCTTTCATTAAATGAAGCTTTTGGATATGATTTGAAAAGAAATTGTTAGCATGTATGACAATCATGAATAATATATTCGACCAATTTTTAAAAATAAAGATAAAATTTGACCTACTTTTGTCTATAAGAAAACATTGAAAGTAGAAAATGCCCTAAATATATGGATAGAAAGTATGAATAGGAAAAATATATCTGTTGATGGAAAAGCGTTAAGTTTGCGTGACGATTTTATACAGAGAAGATACAATTTCTTCTTCCAATAGTAGTACAGTCCAAATTAAGCCTTGGTCTCCTGTAATTTCTGCCTCTAATATAGGCGGTCCTGCGCCGCTCGTCTCTAAGTTCTAACATTCAGCAAATTGTGTGCAGCCGCTGCCACTTCGCTCTCCCATCTTTTATGTGGCCTTCCTTTTGGTTTTCTACCCTGCATTTTACTATCTAGAGCTCTTCTCAGCAGTCTATCATCATCCAACCTCACTACATGCCTAGCCCATCGCCCATTAAAATTATAGAAGTTGCGTTTGCCAATGAGCAAGGTGCAGTGGTATTTTCTGAGTTGGAAGTCAATAGGGATGGGGAATATGAACTTGGCAAGGCGACATCAATATCAACTGTGACAAGATAGGCCTATTTTGACAGATAATGCCCAATAGAACCAAAATTAAGAAAAAAGGCATAATAAGTTTATAGATTTAAATTATGGAAGGATTGGCTAACTCTGATACTATGTAGCTGTGCATAATGGACGATGGACAATGCAAGTTAATCGGGACAATAGTCACACTGCTCAAAAGACAATACACTTTTTGGAGCTCCAAAACATCGACGAACTAGGTCCCAACTATGTCTTTAAAACAGCGATTTTGCAGGTGTCAATTGAAGACTGGAATAACTGTTGTACCAATTGATTTGAATGTATATAAAAGAGTATCGACCTTGGTGGGACATATTTTGAAAAGCAAAAAGTACTTTAAGTCTATATATTTTTTGTCTTCATGGCTATATCGTCGGCTTACAAGCGAAACACACTAAGTCAATTTTTTTCACTTTTGAGTTATTTGCAGCATTTTATTGTATTTTTCCTACTCTTTAGACTGATTAAACTCACTAAGTCATACAATAACAAAAACGGTTATTTTTATAAATATCGTGTTTTTCACTAAGTCTCAAAAACTATATATGATTCAGGCAAAACACACTAAGTGACTTAATGTATTTCACTTGACTACGAATGAACCTACCAACTGACTTACGCAGAGCAACTTGTCCAATCTTGTAAAAAAATAATTTTTTTTTGTTTATATTGCATAGGTTTTGTCAGATTTGTTCCAGTGTTTTGCGTGATTAGTTCGTTAACAGTTTTTGAATTTTGCGCGTGTACTTATTAATTAATTTCTGTAAGAAAAATAAAATTTTCTGTCGAACTACCTACAGCGATAAACAAAGACGTGAGCCTAAATTCTGATAATTTTTGTCAAGATATTCAGTCAGGTCCTCCTCAAATAAGTGACCAGGATTCTGATGAATGTATGGAGGATAGCGACTATATTCCTTCAGGTAATGAAAGTGATAATTTAGATACCAGCGAAGGAAACTCTACAGCAGCCGAAGAAAAAACAAATTCAAATGAAAATAGTCAAGTAGGACCTAAAAGAAGCCGATGGAATACCCCAAGACCATCTGTGTGGAAAAGAAATGTTAAAAAAAGGAAACGAGTTGAAGGAAAACCCTACAAAAGTACCACTGGTAGAATGCAAGCTTCTAAAATTCCAAAAGCGGTTGATTGCTCTAAATGTCGATTTAAGTGCCAAAATAACTTTTCTGAAGAGAACCGGAAGTTGCTATGTCAAACTTATGCGATGTTGTCATTTCAAAGACAGAAAAATTTTATATTATTGAATGTGCTTTTTAATGAAGTAAAGAGTCGCAGGCTTAGAAAAGCAGAAAATAGCAAAATGCGATCCAACGCAAAATCCTATTTTTTCACAAATATGGGAAAGAAAAGTCAAGTGTGTAAGAAATTTTTTTGTAAAACATTGTCTATTTCTAATATGCCTATAATTAATGTCTATAAAGAGCAAAATAAAAGCGGCGAATATAGTGGAATGACAGAAGGGGCCGTAGGATTCCTGGCAATAAAACTTCAGTGGAAACAAGAATAAGAGCAAAAAAACACATTGAAAGCTTTCCTGTTGTAGAAAGTCACTACCCTAGAAAATCTTCGAAAAGACTTTATTTAGATTGTAATCTTAATATTAAAAAAATGCACGACCTGTTCGTTAAAAAGTGTAAAGAGGACAATTTGCCAAGCTTAAGTCAGATAACTTATAGGCGAATCTTTTGCAAGGAATTTAATATATCATTTTTAAAACCTAAGAAAGACCAATGTTTGACCTGTAAGGAATACACAAAAGCATCGCAACAAGAAAAAGAAGCGATGGAGCTTAATTTTAGGAGTCATTTAGACAGAAAAGAGGCTGCAATGAAAGAAAAAAATTCAGACGAAGAAGTATCGAAAAAGAATAAAAAATTAAAATCAATTACATGTGATATGCAAAGCGTTTTACAAATTCCATCATCGCAAGTAAGTCTCTTGTATTATCTTAGAAACCTGAACATCTATAATTTTACAATTTAGGAATCTGCTCCACCAAATGAGGCATTCTGTTATTTGTTGAGTTGTCTGTGAGTTATGTAAGAGTGGAAGCTGTGAAATTGGTACTTGCCTAGGAATGTACATTAATTTATTATCTGATATAGAACATCTAACGATTTTTTTAGATACGTGTGGAGGACAGAACAGAAATATTCAAGTATCTGCTCTGCTTTTACATATTGTTAAAAACCCTCCGAGTCTTCGGATAATTGAGCAAGAGTTCATGGAAAGTGGACACTCCTATATGAAACTAGATTCCATGCATAGCGCTATTGAGAGTACCAAAAAAATGTGGAGATTTTTAGTGTTCACGAATATGAAAATGTCTTTAAAATGGCCAAAATGGGCAACAATGGAAATAAAAAATCTTCCTATAATACTCGTGAAGTTAATTATAACGAATTCTTAGATTTGAAAAAACTTGCACAATATACTATTGTTAATAAGAAAGAGGATCAAAAAGGGCAAACGGTCAACTGGTTAAAGGTAAAGTGTTTTAAGTATGAGAAACAGTTTCCTAACATTCTACAGTACAAGTATAATTTTCACGACGAATATGAAAATATTAACGTTAGTTTTGTACGTCGTGTTTCTAACAGAAGAGTCAAAGAGGATAATAATAATGAAAATTTGGTTATTCCTCAATATTCTAAACACCTTTCAATTTCGGATGCAAAGAAAAAATATTTGATAAAGCTCTGTGAAAAAAATATAGTTCCGCAAGCGCTCCATACCTGGTTCAAAAATCTACCAAGTTCTTCTTCTGTTCGAGACCAAACAGCGGAGTCAGCTGAAAAGGACTCTGACGAAGAAGACTTTGAAAATTAGAACCATATTTTTTTTTGTTATACACGTTTTGTTTTGTTATATCTGTTTTTTTAATAATGTTCTTGTTTTGTGAAAATATACATGAAAAAAGTAAAAACTTATATAAGCAAAAGTTATTGTATTATTTACAATGTAAACGAAGCCTGCAATAATCGTATGACAGTAAGTAAATAAAAAAAAATACACGTAAGTTATACTTTCATAGCAAAATTATACAAGTAAAACACACTAATTTAAATGCTACATGTAAAAAACATTAAGTCAACGTATTCAAATCGAAAATTAAACAAAAATTAATAATTTGGTAATATATCATTTACTTCTCCTCGTCAGTAATCATTATTAATACTTTATGAAAACTTTCATGTAATTACAAAACAACAAATAAAAGTTTTAAATGTGAAAATTGATCAAACTGTTTTTAAAAAAATTTAAAACACGATTATCTCAAAACTATATTTTTTGACTTAGTGTGTTTCGCTTGTAAGCCGACGATATTAAAACTAAAAAGATACCCCTAGATAGTGCTTGTAATTATACAATTTGTTTTAGATATTATGATTTTCCGATTGTCAACTTAGGCTCGCAATCGCTGGATGTGAAGGACACAAACAGTAACTATAAACCACAAATCAAAATTCATAAATTATTTATAACATGAAGTGTAAGAAAAGGTTTTATTAATTTGTTACATAAATGAATAAAAAATATTTTAAAAACAAAAAAATAGAGCAATCACGGTAGAAGCCAATAATTTCTGACAACTATATGTACACAGTGATATACCACAGCTTACACCACATATTACTCTGCCGCTTCACCTGAGTTTGCAGCAGACAATAAAAAGCTGAGACTGTAACATGCGGAACTATCTTCCGCTGCGACTTGGAATGTCTTAAATGATATATAAATCTTATTGATAATAACTTAAACTCTTGGCTGAATGTGTTAATAGGTTCAACAAAGAAAATATTTCAAGAAAAACTTACTTGTGGCACATAAACTTCTAGTCAAATTTTCTACAAAATTTGGATATTCAGTACTTTTGGATAGAGTAATGAGTTTTTTGGAAAGGGTATCTGTAAAGCTATCAAATTCCTCTGTTGAATTAGGTAATGTAAGATCAGTAAGAACTTCAGTAGTTTTGTTACCACCAAAGGTTGTTTCAAGAGCTAATTTTAGGTCAGATTCCTGCTGACGTCTAAGTTTTTCTTCTGGTGGTATATCTTCTTCAGCCTCTTCTCTAAGTCTTCGTTCCATTTCTTCTCTTTTTAATCTCTACAACAAAATCATAGATAATTATAGTAAAGATTAAAGTACATTTATTGACGTTTCAATTTCCACTTCGGAAATCGTTCTAAAAATACAAACAATAGTAAATTTACTAATGTTTGTATTTTGAGAACGATTTCCGAAGTGGAAATTGAAACGTCAATAAACATACTTTAATCTTTAATTGTGGCTTATTATTAATAATTATTAATTTATAATAGTAATACTTTTAACATGTAAAATTGAAATTAAATGTTATTTTTAGCGGAAAAACTATGAACTAAGAAAGAAATCTTCGAAATTATATGAGATGTTACTATTAAGCTTCCGATAGTTCCATCCTTGTATTTGAAAATTCGAGGAAGTGATGACTCATGCTTTTATATACTTGTCTATTTTAATAATACTAATTTGTTGTCAAATTTTGTCACTTGAGGTCAGTATATTCAAGGAGTTATAAACCTATATCATATGTGGTTTATGGTTCAATTGTTACATACAATATTATTAGTACAGTGTACATTTAACTAAGTTTAATGCAATTATTATAAAAATGTACTTTTTTAACAATATGGCTACCAGACAAAATATCAAAGAGAGAGGAGGTCGAAGCACTTAGAAATATGATTATAGGTAATGATTTGAGTGATATATAAAATTTTATAGACGACAGTGATAAAGTTGGGACAAACAAGATGAATGTGAAGGAGATTCTGAATCAGAATAAAATGCGATAGAATCTGGTTACAATTTTGGCTTTATTAAGCATAGCTTTACCGTCACATATATAAACTCTCTTCTCTTTGGATAATGATAACTCTCGCTTCTCTAAATAAATCCGTAACGTGTAGAGTTCGTTTTCATTAGTTGTATTTCTATTTTGTTGGAAAAATTTTAAGTGTGGCAATAGAGCAACATATTTGTTGTACCGTTGCAGCGTTCGGTTTCATTAACGTTGTTAGATCAACAATTTGTTGTTAAATTTAACATGAAACTTGAAAAAAATATTAATGGTAACTTATAATTTATTGAAAAAAGTGCATGAAAATGAATGTTTATCACATTCGCGTGTTATTGTGTGCTAAGTATTTTCAAGACAGCTGAGAAGATAATTTACGCCCAAGTAATTCTTCTAGATCGATCTGACTGTTAAGTATTCGCGTATTTTACATAATTTTAACTTGCAAAAAGTGTGCAAATTCAGCATTGCCTATTAAGGTTTCCAAGCAAGTACACAGCATTATAGTGTTGGAATATATGTCTTATTCTCCAGATCTTGCTCCGCACGGCTCCTATCTGTTTCCAATTGTAGAATCTGCATGAAAAGGAATAAGATTTGAATCCGTTGACCTGTGAAATCGAAAACTGCACGTCTTCTGAAGATGCTGACAGACGAAAATTTCTAGTTTTGAAAAATAGAAGATAGATATAGGATAAAAGAGGGGTATAAATTGAAAGTAAATATGTATGGAATAAAAATAAAATGTGTCACAGCATCAATCTCGTTATACGTTTCTGTCTGTATCTAAGGTTTTGACAGGTTCTATGATCAGGTTTTTACAGGGCAGGTTGCTGGCCTCACTTCCGAACTCTCCTCTTTTATCTGGCTTTAATACGGCATAAAGTACTTAATACACCTTACAATAGTACAGGCATAATGAACTAACATCGAAAATAGATATCAACTCACAAATCCGAAACAAAAAGAGATAGAGAGAGACTTAACCCACTACTCTACAATGTAGCAATATACAAAATGATAAAAAAAAACAAGAAATACAAGATAATGATATGAGCTGGACAGAAATCAAATAAAAATCCTTTGTTATTCACATGAGACAATCCTAACCTTTATATAACGGAGATGACAAAACATTGAAAACTATAACAGACATACAATATAAAAACAGACCAATCTAGTGATTAAAGGATTACCAAACAATATAAAATCGTAATTAACGATGATTTAATAACGACGATATAGTCAAACAAGCCTCTATATTCAAATACCTGGAAACCTTAACGAGAGCAACTTATGTATTAGAATGTTCATGTGATGTCATATTGATGAATATGAGATTAAATGCAGAAAATATGTGAAGACTCGTTTCTATGGCATACTCCAGAGCAGATACAAGGGAAACAAAAAGAATAAAAATGTTAGAAATGAGAACCTTGAGATAGAATAGAATAGAATATAAATATGCTTTATTGTCACTGAAAATTATTGAACAATTTTATGGACAAAGCTAAAAAATAAATCAGTCAAATAGTACAAAAAGTATAAAACAAAAACAAATATAGTAAAGAACAGAATAACACAATTTTAAATTAGTAAAATTATTGTATAACCTACATAATTTGTACAGACAACAACAACTGAGACAAATTGTAGCCACTGCTTGAGACACCCAAATGTAATTATATAACAATACTAATTTTGTTTCTTTGTTATACATTAAGAAACTCGTCAACTGAATAATATGGTCTTTCTGGGAGATAGATTTTTGTCACCTTACGAAACTTAATGAAGGATGTTGCGGATTTAATTTCTCTTGGAAGGTGATTATAAAGTTTCTTTGCACGATATAGAATAGAATTCTTTACTAGCTGAGTGGACGGGATCGGCAAATAAACGTTACAATCCGAATTTCTAATGGAGTAGCCATGGTCAGGTCTATCGGGAAAAATGTTTAGATGCTTTCGAATCAAACAAACCGTTTCCAAAATAAATAAAGAGGGAAGCGTCAAAATTCAATGTGTTGTTTGTTTGAGACCAAATAGATAACGGATTGCTCTTTTTTGCAACTTAAAAATAGTATCAAATTGGGCCGTTGTACTAGAACCCCAAAATGGAAGCCCATATCGGAGATGGGACTCGAACAATGAGAAATATGCCATTTTGGCAGAAGATAAATTTAGTTCCTTCGAAACAGATCTTATTGCAAAGCAAGCTGAGGCTAGTTTCTTCCTTAAGGAGTCAGTATGCAAGGACCATTTGAGATCACTGTCAATGAGAATACCTAGAAATGTCACGGAATTTACGATATTGATTTGGCTCTCATTCAAAAGCAAGGGTTGCATGACTCCTTTATAAGATAATGCTACAGTCTTATCCACGTTAAAGCTAAGTAAGTTGGAGTCTGACCAAGCCTTAATTATAAGTAAATCAGCGGTTATAATTGAATGAAGCGTTGAAATATCAGAGCTGCTCCAAGTAATACTGGTATCATCAGCAAATAGAAAAATTTTCCCTTTAATTTTCAAGTAAGTGATGTCATTAATGAAAAGTAAAAAAAGAATGGGACCTAATACTGAACCTTGCGGTAACTCCACACTCAATATCTTTACAACTAGAGTCGATGTCATTTATTCTAACCAATTGTTTCCTACCTACCAAGTAAGTTTTGAACCAGTTCAAAGACACACCCCGAATTCCATAGAAAGTTAATTTTTTTAATAGAATGTCGTGATTTACGCAGTCAAAGGCTTTGGAATAGTCGCAGAAAACGGTGGCTACCTACTGGCGGAGGTTACTGTTTAGTGATAGATATACATCATGTAACACAGAAAATATGGCATCACTAGTGCATTTATTAGACAAAAAGCCAAACTGATTTTGCGATAAAATATTGTATTTAAGGAGAAAGGGCATAAGTCGAACTTTTATAAGTCTTTCAGTAATTTTTGATAGATTAATAGCTGGGTCAACTACTGGCTCAGTAGAATGCCAAATAATGAAATAGAACATCTCTGTAACAACCAGGATGCTGCCCGATGGGAGTAGAATAAGCGTATTACATGAATGATAAGAATTAAAAATAATGAAACTTTAAGAATAGAGCAAAATTATCAAGGAGCATAGTAGGTTTTTCGCGGCTTAGACGGTGTTTGGAATGGTGGCAAATTGCTTTCGGGGCTTATGAGCTGTGATATAGAATTATTTCTGCTAGGCATTATCTGACAGCATAGCTTTCTGTCATTACTCACTGCTGATGTTCCTCGAATATTTTCTCTATTTGTAACTTTCGTGTGCCCTTTGGGATGTCGGTTCATCCGAATCAGTATTGAGGCGGCATTTTCGATGAGCCTAGGAAAAGGTTTCGTAATTCTTAGAGTTGAGATCCAAATCCAAACTCTCTTTTTTATAGTTACAGTTGATCAAATGTAACATTTACACATGAATGTTTTCACTCAAATGAGTATTAAACTATGTTTTGTTGTTCCAATGTTGACTGAAACACACCTACAGAATGCACACTCTTACAGTTTCTTTTAACATTTTCGTTAATTTGAAGATTTAATTAGATCATATTTGGTGAAAATGTGAAAATTTTGCAAACTTAACTGTCACATTTTTAATATAACACAAGAAAACTTTATTGTTGGCTCTCATTATTGGTCAATTTTACTACTGACTGGTTAGGACATATAGATTATTCACATTCACTTGGAGCACATCCAATCCATCAATTCTGTCATCTTTCTTTTCAAACAAAATTATTACCTTATCTATTCAAGTTCATATTCAGATAGCAGGATCCTTTGGAAGTTTTATCAAACTCCATTCTTTTTTATTCAGGATGTTCAACCAAAGGTTTGAGTGCATTGGTTTTTGATATATTATCCCAAGTTTTTCATTTACATATTGCATTTTTAGATGTTTTGGTCAATACCAAAGGAAAATTGTGAAAATCAATGCACATGAAATGTTAATTCAACAACAAATTGAATCACCAACCTAAACAAATAAGATTTGTCACAAAAAAAGATATAAAAGAGATATTAATCAGCTTATGAAAATTAAAAACTCTTATTGGCACATTCTTTAAAAAATGCACAAAATTGTCCATTTAAAAGATATTTGAATTAATCTAAACTAAACAGATCTATCATTGGGTGTAGGCTTTCATGGCCGGTGTTTGGCAATAATATTGTATTTAGGATGTATAGGCTTTGGTCTGGAATTATTTCTTCCTGGCCTTTAGTGTTTGCACACCTAGCAGATGTGATCAAAGACAATGTGGGAGCGGACATAGATGTAGCAATCCTGCTGCTACAGTTGATCACTCTTAAGATCTTCCTCGAGTGATTGATTGGCATTGAATGACTACCAACAGTCTGTTGGTTGGCATTTGAGGTGAGGTTTTGTATTTTGCAATATTGATTCATTTTGATTATATTTTATCACATTTTGTTTTTGATAATGCCTGCTGCCATTACAGACAAAACGTCCGGAAGAAACAACTCATGGATCATTGATAGTTTGTATGGGAAGCATAAGGTGATTTTGTCAAATTATCAAGAAATTGTTTGCAGTATTTTCTTTTGTTTCTGGATCATAATGTTTGGATATATCAGTATTATTATATAGTGTTTTTACCAAAAGAAACTTAATCAATGTGTTCATAGAAATTATTCTACAAATTAATGTTTTAACAACAACAACAAACAATGCATCAGGTAAACTCAGGAAAAAAAAAATATTTATTTAATGGTGTGTAGACTGTCTCATATATTTGTATTTATACTTTTTAGAATATATTTTAATTGTTTCAAAAAAAAAAACCTAAGGGAGACACCTGCAACATAATAAATATGTTTTTGTGATCTTAACTGTATTTATTAACATCTCACAATGTCTAAATTATTACCTCTTTCTCAGCTATTTTTTCAGCTAGACTCTTCTTTTTAGGTTTCTTTTGATCTGTATCACCTTTTCCATCTTCTTTTTTTTCTTCATCTTCATCTTCCCAACTTTCCTACAAAAAATAGTAACAGAATTCACCATAAATGTTTACCTAATATACTCAAATTTGTATGGTAGAATTGAAATCTGAACACAAAAATTTACAATACTTTATGATACTTCTTTCCAAATAGATGATATTTTTAAATATAGTAATACCATGTTTCTAAGAGCTTGTTTCTTATTAATATTCAGCTCAGCAAAGTGCTATTGTTCAAGGTGTGAAATTCCATAAAACAGGTAGACCCCTTGTTTAGGAAATTTCACACCTTGCTGAGCTGCATTACATTGTTTTGGAAAGAAAATAGCACAGTACAATGGTATTTGGTACCTATAAATATCTCAGAACCACTGTTATAATTGATTCTATTAATGCTATTTGGACTAATCTAACAAACTTTTATTACATATCATATGTGTTTTTATTTAATTTATTTACAAATATGAAGAGAACTAATGAAATAGAGTATCTACAAAAAAACGCTATCCAGCTCAGCAAAACGCTATTGTTCAAGGTGTGAAATTCCATAAAACAGGTAGATCACTTGTTTAGGGAATTTCACACCTAGCTGAGCTACATTACATTGTTTTGGAAAGAAAATAGCACAGTACAATGATATCTACAAAAAAAAAATTCAAAATATCTCCAATCTTTTTTTTTATATAGCCTCTTTATAGTGTTTTCAACTTATTTTTTGTATCCATCACTATTGGTTGTATTTATAATCACAAATATCCATCCATCCTATGAAACTACAGCCCAATTTGAGCCCTGGCCTCCCTAATCAAACCCCTCTATCTGTTACTGTCAGTAGCCATTCTCCTCCATGATTGACTTTCTAATGTCCCCATGCACATCATCCTCCCATCGTTTTCTTGGTCTTCCAATAGGTCTCTTACCCTGTATGGCTCACAGTCCCCTAAGGGGAGCATTCATTCATCGCAGATACCTACAGTATCAAAAGGATTGAGCTCTGGTGGGACTTTTTCCTTGTAATCAAGACCTAGGTGGCTTGGTATGCTGAGTATCTCCCAAAAATATTCTTACACATCTGGATGTTGTGAGGAGAACAGCTTTCTTCATAACCTAATAGAGATGTTCATTTAAAACTAGCTACTTTATTTTCTCTGAAGAGGTTTTTGGGAATAATACCAGTAGTAGATAGAATAATAGGTACTGTCTGAGTACTTTCCATTCTCCATTATCTCCTGATTTGTATTTATAGATCTCAATACTTGGCAATCTTTTCACTGTATTTAACATGCAAATTATTGGTATTAGGTATAGCCATATCAATGTGTTGTTTGCCTAGTAAGTTTATTAACTAGTATAAGATCCAGTCTATTATGAGCCACTGGTTGGTCTGTAATCACAGTGCAGTTCCAATAAAGCTTGTAGTTGTCATTTTCAAGAATTCTTTTGGGGATATATTGATAATAAGGAATATGGTCGGTTTGGAGAAGGCCCAGCCCCCAGTAAGATGTTGGGGGGTTTCTTGGGCTTGGCTTACGTATCAACATTTGTCATTTTGGACTTGTGGATCTTAAACAATATATTTCAGGTCATTTTTAGTTGAAATAACCTTATCCTGGCAAGTAGGAAACCCTCAGTCTTGGGAAACATATTTCCTGATGTCAACCAACAGTTTGACACTGTATTGTCAACATATTCTTCTTTATTATTAATATACTTATTTCAGGATTGATTTCTTCGCCACCTGTTGTTCTCATTTATAGGGCCTAGTATTCATCTCAGAAAATCACTAGTATTAATTTTAAATCTTTTCTTTTCAAATATTTTGATACCAACATAAAGTAAATAATTTCAAGCAACACCAAAACCACCCAAAAGTGCCAACAATTTTAGATTAGATAAAAATCAGTACAAATAAATGCAAGGTATATTATCTGATTGAAGTAAGTACATCTACTTAAGTGCTTAATTTAAGTTGTCATATTATTTTTATGGAAATGTTTAAGACTACATACATGCTAGAAAAGGATACCAAAGGTTCACCCAAAACTACCAAAATTATTAAGTCATGAAGGAAATAATTTGATAAACAAAAATCACCTACTTTCAACAGTACCTTCACTGGAAGGTAACAAAATTGATTGTATTTAAATGTATGTTACAATCAGGAGTATAATATAAAATACAAATATACTTGCTGTTTGCTATAAAACATGTATAAAAGCATGCAAAACATTTTATACAAATACAAATATGTTTTTGTTATAGATACATGTAAACAATAATTATATTTGCTTTCTTATTTATGCATTTCTAATTTTAAATATAGACAAAATTGACAAATAGCGTCAAATTGATATTTTTAGAATATAAATGAACTCATTTAATATATAGTATATATCCTAGATAAATGTTAATTATAGGAGGTATACCTTAACGTCTTCCTCCTCATCTTCTCCTTCCCACTTGTTAGAAACTACTGGAACAACTGTAGGAGCAGTGGGCTCAAAATTGTCGTCATCTGCAACAATAAAACAACCCAGGCGAATTTACAATCAAAATTCTTTTATAAAAAGGCTACTTTACTCACCCCACGATTCCATATTGCAGATTGTACTAGCACCGAACCTCAAAATGACCACTTCACGTGTGGCTGATGGACGATTATAACTATCGATGATTCACCAACCAAAATGGCTAAAATTGGTTAGTAAAATAAGAAAAAACAAACTGCTATCAAACGCGATGTCTGGGTTTTTTAAATTTTTGGTAAGAAATTATAAAAACACAAAAATTCTTCGAATGATCACTATACAAATTTGAGGTCGACCTTCGAACATCCATTTCAGGTTCACTTTGACATTTATTTAACGTTTGACATTTACAATCGGTTTTAATTTTTGCATGTTGCCGTCACTGCTTCTTGGAATAAACAAGTGATAAAAAAGATACAAATCCAAAAGTCACAGAAAATTTGTCTATTTTTTAACAAATTTTTAAATTTAAAAGGCGGAGACTAGATTTTACAAACATGTGAAAATATATACAATTGTAGTTTTCTATATTTTTAAACTTTTAAAAGCTATAATTAAACAATTTTTGAATAAATTTTACTAGTAGCTGTATACACACAGCTACAGAGATAAGACAGACTGTAATTAAAAAAAGAAGTTATTTGAAGTTATTGAGGTTAGATAATTAAGAATGGTAGGAATTTCAAAATAAAATGTTTCTCAGGGGCTCTCAATACTTAAAATCTAATGTTAGACAAGTTTGTGAAATAAAACCTTACTTTTTAAGGACAAAGAGATATTATAGTGATAGTTTAAGTGTGTCAGAAGTTAATATACCGTTTTCAAATGGGTAGGTAAAAAATTGGAAGTAAGGACAAATCTACAAGAGTAAAATAAAAATGATTTTAACTAATAGATCTTAGATGTGTGTATGTTTATAAGCACAGTGAAAGCGGATATTCACTTAATAGCATTGATTTCTTGTGCTAGAATGGACAAAACTACTGGATAAGAAAACATGTTTTTAAACAAATCATCAAATATGCTTAGTTTGTACTTAATGTGGTTCTCAGTATTATTAACATTATATGTTATGTAATATATTAAAATTAAAGGGCAAAAGAATACCCTCTGGAATCAAGAAAGTAGGGTGCCTAGTATTATTTATTTAAGAAGGTAATAAAGATAATAATACTATTATGTAAACATATGCATCTGCAGACCACAAGTAATCAATAATTATGGTAAAACTACCATCAATAATAGAACATGTCATTCTATGTGCATTCAATAAATTTTTAGGTTTTGGCTGTTTTTTAAAAAAATGCGCCATGGTAAGGGTGAGAAAATACACTTTAAAAATATGTACATTACATTAAAAACAAAAAGTCTAAAGTAGTTATATAAAACCCAAATTGATCTGCAATTTAAACTAGAATACCCTGGTGTATTGGATCAACCTATGGTATAGCAAGATATAGCACCATGTTGCTCGGTGTTACTCATTCCATTGATCCCTGCAGGGTGCAGCAAGAATATGTAGGATACATGTATATAAATAGATGGATGTTATATTATTTGCCATTGTTAACGAGCTGGATGTCATTATAAAGAAAGGGTGATAAATATCTTCTTTAACTTTTATTACAAGACCCATTAATGTTAGATAGGACTAAACCTTTCTAACTATATTAATGTCAAGTTAAATATACTAAAATCTTCAATAATGAAAACATCACCATTATCACAAACAATATTTTCAACAGATTATTAAAAATTCTTAAAAGGTAAAATAGAAGCCAGAATATAATGTTGATTACACCAACCTGTTTGAGGCCTCTCATTACATGTCTGAAGTGCTCTAGCTTTTTCTTCATTATGTTTTTTATAATCTCAATGGTTTTGTTGAGACATTCTAGTATTGTGGAATTTTGAATCTCCTCCACCCAAGAAACTTGTAATATTCCACTATCATCAAACATCACATTTTGAAAACCTCAAGGCATTTTAGATCATTTTAGTTTTTACAGTCTAAGACTTCACACCACAAAGTAAGACAGAACACATAGCAGTGAAGTAGACTGATGTACAATGCCAATTTTAGGTCTATATTACATAATAGCTTAGGTGTCCTTCTAAAAGCAGCTCTGGTTGCTCAACTCTGGATCTGAATTCACTGTGACACTGTGTTACAATTTAATTGATATCCAAGGTTAACAATTTTATCAACTTTTTAAGTTTTGTACAATTTTCACATACAGGTAGTTTTTATGTTTGGTTGTTGTCATCTAGGGATAAATAATAAGGGTCTATGCACCTTCTGAATCCTCAGACGATCCATAGAGAGCTTCAAATGTAACTGTCAAAAGCTTATCTACCTAAGTCCATTTACTGGGGATGGACTTGTAAAATGTTTATCTTCAGTGTCTTGCCTAGAAAAAAGGCAAGATATTTCTTACATGATGAAGAGTTGTTAAAATATTAACACCAAATTTGCTGTTGAAATACTTCTCAGCCACATAGTATGGAACATAACAGGAAACAGAGCCCCTAGAGTACTAGACTCTAGGAGAGCCTGTGAGGGACTGACTTAGCTGACCTGAAAATCACCTATATTATGTGCTATTCAAGCAATAAAAAGGTATTTTGAGGCTGGATGATGTGCATCAGAGTGTGCACTAGTTCAGATATTGTTTTCCAAAATACTCATTATTATGAGTATTTTGGATTTTTATATCTTCAGGTCCAAATCTGCTTCTTTACAGTTCTCAATGACACTATCAAAAAATATTTGTAAATCTTGACTAGAAGGTAGGAGTACTATGTTGTCCACACATGGCAAATTTTTATGACTTCTCCATTCACAGTTATTCATTCTTTATTTTCAGAAAGTACATTTCTGGAAATTCTCTCAGAGTAAACATTAAAAGCAGGGGCACAAGATGCAACCCTGCCTTACTCATATTTTGCAATTTGCAATGTCTCTTAGAGCTTTGATCAATATAAGGTGTTTAACATTATCAAATGTTCATCCCAAACAATTCTTCTCTTGTTCCAAACCCGTTACAGAAACCAAACTGTGTGTCCCGAGGTATCCCTCGCATTTATTATAGATACAGTCATGTATTACCTTTAGAAAATTTTTCAAAAATGACTCAACAAACTGATGGTTCTATAATCAGCACAGTTTTTTCCTGTTGTGTTTTTAGGAACAGTATAAACAACTAATTGGACCGATGTTTGAAATGGTATTGAAAAATGAAGTTATAGCCAGCCTCTAAAACATTGCTATCAATTGCCATTATTTATAAGGAATTTCATTAGGACTTATTACTTTGTTGTGTTTTGATGACTTTATGTCTTGTATTACCTAAGAGTGTGTTATTAGGGATCTGTCACAGTTAGTAATATCTGTAGATTAACTAATTGTATCATCAAATATATTTGTAATGTAATTTTCCCATTCTTTCAGTTTGTCCTCTACTTCAAAAATTACTTTATGTCATATTCATCTTCTAGTAGTACACTTTGTTTCTTATTGAAGATACCACCTGCTTGTTTCACTTTTTTATACATGTTAAACTTGTCATACATATTTTAGAGTTTTTCAATTTCATGACATTGTTTGGCTAGATGTTGATTTCATGCTTCTAGTATTTTACATCAAATTTTTTTTTGTATACTTTATAAAGGTTAAAGTAGTATATAAAGTTTTTCATTGTTTTTGCTAGTTGCCATTATTCCATCAAATCCAATATGTGATTTATGATTGAAGACTTCTTTTTTAATTTTGAACTGCCTTTTAAATTCTTTTCACAGAGTTCCTTTACTGTTATAATTTTATTTTAGCCTTCACCAGGATTCTCACTGATATTTTTCTAAACTAAGTTTTCATTTAGTTGTCTTTGAACCATTTTGTCTTCCGTTCGAACCATTCAAACTTTATTGTCTTGTAGTTGGAATTTGTCAATATTTTTGCGAGACTTCTTTTTGATTACTTTTCTTTAATTTTAATTGTGTTACATCTACTATGAGATTGTGGTCAGACCCGATGTCAGCGCCTGGATAATATTTTTGGCTGATTTGATGCAGTTTCAATGCAAATTGATTTTTATTAGAATGAAGTCCATTTGGTTCCTAATAATTTTATTCTCCAATTCTGCATTTAACTCCCAGGTGTAGAGTCTTCATGGTGGCAATTTGAAGTGAGTATGTGATATAACAGAATCATGTTCTTGGCAGTACTGTACTTTCATTTCTGTTATTCAGACCATCATCCCCCACAATACTCAAACAGTAACTTTTGCTGACTTTATCATTAAAATCTCTGAGGACTATAGTGGTATATGATGACTGCTTGGAGATAATAAAAAATTCTGCCATTACCATCATGTTTTACAGGGGGAAATTTTACATAAAAAATACTTTTTCATGTTTTTCTTATGAATTCCAAAGCGAAGTTAGGCTAAAAACAAGTTACAACATATTTGAATTTGAAAATTTTACAGCCTGTAACAGATTCATTGGGACCCAATTTTTCATGTTATTTTGTATTAAGAAGTGTATGTGTGCAAAATTTCAGACAAATAGAAGAGGGTCATCTTTGCGTGGAATTTCCCTAAACCTGTGTTTGTGATGGAACCAAAGCGAACCAATTAAACAAAAGAAAAATCACATTAATCTTAATGATTAGAATCTATTTTTTGTTACAAAATATATTTCCACATATTTGAAAAATAATAATTTGAAGAAGAGCATACATAAAAACAGGAATATTTAAAGCTCAGTAGTCTTTAATACTCATATATCAATATTTATAAAAAAAAAGGGTTTTAGAAGAATACTTTAATACTAAGAAAATTTGAATTTGAAACAAAAATCTAAATATAGGAAAAATATTTCAGGTCGATAAATTATTATTTGAGTGGGTTAATGGTCACTCAGTCAATAAAATGCTTAGTTGAAAGAAGAGATTTAGTGAGGATATCTTTCGTGGTATTATTAATATTCTTTTAATAAAAAAAAAATATTAATTCTAAAAGACTTATCTTTTTGGTTATATCACAAACTCACAAACAAAAAATATTTTAAAATAGAGGTAATGAATTTTGGGAACAGCTATGACCTTGAACATTTCACATAAACTTGTGTACTAAATAGGCATAATGCATAGCTCTTGTCAAAATCCAATACATTAATAATATAATTACATATCTTCGATTCTAAAATATTGTAAAAGACTTTAAAGAGTATGAGTAAGAAAAAGAGATATTTAGTTATATTCTTTGTGGCATTTTCAAGGTCATAGCTGTTCCCAAAATCCGTTAACTCTATATATACAAATTTTTAAAAAATATTTTAAACATTTAAAAAAATTTTTTTCATATTATGTATTAATATATAACATTTTCAGGCGTAATTTAACTATATCCACTGGTCAGTATGCTCGTTTAGCAGATGGCTGCGCAGTGGCAACACTTGGTGATACATCAGTCATGGTTACAGTAGTATCGAAACCCAAACCAACAGTAAGTGGATTTTTACCCCTAGTTGTTGACTATCGACAAAAATCTGCAGCAGCTGGTAGAATTCCTACAAACTTTTTTCGTAGAGAATTGGGTCCAACTGAGAAGGAAATTTTGACATCTAGGCTAATAGATAGAAGTGTAAGACCTTTATTTCCAGAAAATTATAATTATGATACCCAAGTGGTGTGCAATATGTTAGCTGTTGATGGAGTGAATAATCCAGACATTTTAGCCATTAATGCTGCATCTGCTGCTCTATCTCTAAGTGATATCCCATGGAATGGACCTATTGGAGCTGTAAGAGTTGGTTTTATAGATAATGAGTTAATAATCAATCCAACAAGAAGAGAATTACAAGCATCATCGTTAAATTTAGTTGTTTTCTGCCATGAGAAAAAGTTTAGTAGTAATGTTGGAAGGAAATGCAGGTTTGTTATATGTATTATGGAATGATGTTTTGAAAATATTAGTATATAATATCTTACTCAAGAAATTTGCTACAAAATGAATTGATTTGATTTGCAAGGAAGCCATATGATTTTTCACTATTTTTCAAGATATTTAATAATTTCCTTTCATTTGTCATAGTTTTAATACCTATGGTTGACATTATATTTGCCAATTTTATTTTTATTATTTATGTGTAAATTCATTGTCCTTTTCACTATGACGTGAGGATGTGTAAGTAATGTTGATTATATGGTTATAATGTGCATTTCTTTTATTTTTAATCTATATTGACAGTTTTATTTATTGAGACGTGCCATATTGTATTTTCTGAACTAAATTTGAATCTTTTCTTTTTTGCTTCCTTTTATTTGAATTATTTTTTCTTTTTTTTTTTTGCTGTAATACTCTTTGATCATTATTCATATCTGTAATCAATCTTTTGACTGTCTAAAAAGCTTTATTATAATTAAGAAAATATACATGGACATCCTGATTCACATCTAAACCTAATTATTTTGTTATGTTATATCCAAATACCCACAACATTTTTAAATTTTATACTTCCTATATTTTCTCCAAGATATACAATATAATGTATGATTTTCAGAAACAGCTTTAAGGACACATTAAAATTTATTCCGTAGTACTCAATATAGGATTTAGAGATCAGTTTCTTTGAAATAGTTACAGATGTGGAATTTCAGGATCACCATAAGTTCAGTGTTTCCACTTTTCTTTTTTTAAAACGTTCTGAGTTACTGTACTTGTTAAATACACTAAAATTTCTTCTTTTTGGTCCCTTGCATTATTTGTATTGTTATCTGTAATATTTTTTTCATTTATCAATGTAATTTAACCCTGTTTGTTTTTCCTCAACTATTGCATTTTCAGGCATATTTTTCTATCTCAATTTTTTATTCTTCTTCTTCTTCAAGTTCCGCTCCTATAGGAGATTGGAAATCATTCTGGCAATTATAATTTTGTTGGTTACATGCCTGAACAGTTCAATTGAACTGCATCCAAACCATTCACGGAGATTACGTAGCCACGAGATTTTACGTCTTCCTACGCTTCTTCTGTCTTTGATTTTACCCTGCGTTATATTCCTTAGTAGTTCGTATTTTTCACCTCTCATTATGTGCCCCAAGTATTCAAATTTCTTGATTTTTATGGAATTTAAAACTTAAAAGGGCTGAAGTTTTAAGTTGGTTTTATGATAGTACTAAACTACTCACAGTTGTAACCACTGTATTTTAATCTTTCATTAAATAGGAGTGGATTCATAGATTTATTTTTGTAGTTATAAATGATAACTTTAGGTTTTAAAATATTGGAATACACAGGATGTTGGTGATTTGATGATACTCGAACTATATAATTTAGTGACAATCGTTACCGCCGTAAGTGTAAAGGTAATTCGTTAGCTAACACTTAAAGCCTTGAAGGCTAGTGGTTACGCCAGTTCTAAATGCGCCAAGGACAATTCTTAAGGCCGTATGACACTATGCATTTTCTTGTATCATTTCTTATATCGTTTCTGATATAGAAAGTTATTTATGTTTTCTTGTATCGTTTCTTGTACGTACATTTTTGCCCTGTATGACACTATGCAAGTTCTTTTACCAGAAACTGTATGTGATTTGGCACATGATTGGTCGAAATTTTGACACCTATAAAAATAGAACTGCAGTACCTGAGGCACCGAACAAGGGCCTGAGGACCCCAAGCTACTGGGGACTGAGAACATATGCTACTGATTATTTTTAAAAATACTGTGGTGCAAAAATGAAAGAAATAAAATGTCCCAATATGAAAACTAAGTTGGAAACCACAATTTTTGAAGATGTTCAACAGGTTGTAATGGAAGACAGAAATAATAAATAATTTGGTTGTAATAATTTATTTGTTTTTTTTTTTAAATTATGTTTTTGAATGGTATGCTCTTGAAACTCTACTCTCTTATTTGGAGATATAAAATAATCTTTAAACTCATCACGAATTTTTAGTGCGGTTATGTATTGTTTTTAGTAAAACATCTCCTCCTACTTTCAGTAGTTCCGATGCTATTATTTGATACAATCACTGTGATTTATTGTTTTTCAATATGGCTACTGATGTTCTAATCTTGGTTATTGTTGGTGGGCACTTTTATCTGATGTCTGCTTGGCCTAATTGTATGTATACATCAGAGATACTTACATATCTCTGGTATATATCAAAGTTCTCCTCCTCCAGCCATAGAGAAATAAAAATAATAATTATTTTTATTTCTCTATGCCTCCATCCGCCAATATGACATGAAAGAAGTTTTACGTTTTAGCGGCTTTGCGCACAAATTGGCGCATTTCTTGTACAAGAAAATGCAGCGGACACAAATTCTTGTATCGTTTCTGATATAAGAAACTATACGCCTGTATGACACTATCCATTTTTTTGTTATATCAGAAACGATATAAGAAATGATACAAGAAAATGCATAGTGTCATACGGCCTTTAGTAATGTTTTAAAGGTTACAAGAAAGTTGCTTAAAGGCATGCGCAGTATGTCGTCAGCTGATTATTTCCTACAACTCTTGCAATTGCGCGATAATCGGTTTGGTTCCATTTTCTCTCAAAGTTTTCATGCAAGTCTAGGAAAATTTGTAGGAAGTTTGACTTTTCCACAATGTCAATGGTCTTATCCACCATCTCCGTTCTCGGCGTTCTAAATTAGTAACTAAAAGGCTGGCTGCAGCAATAATTATACTTAAGGTTGCTGCTACTGCCTTTTTACTGTTGTATTTGGCTATTTTTAATAGTCTTGGCATTTCAAAATTTACTAAATAATGTTAAATAAACAGCAATAAGTCTTAAAAAAAACTACAGTTTATAAGTTAGGTTAAGGGTAAAAATTTCAACATTAATTGCATTGCAAGCCGAGTTGAAAGCTGTAAAATCGCACATAAAGACCTTGCAATAGACTTGCATGAAAATTAGTCATGCAAGAAATATCAACAACTGTTCTTGCGAGCTGTAAAGCGGCCTTTATATAAAGGTTATTTATTACTCACGTCAGGTTGAGTCGGTTGGCATCAACACTGCAATAGTATTTGCTGATAGTATTTAAGAATATAATTTTTTGTTTAGTATTAAATATTCAAAAATTGAAAAACAATAAAGCGATTTAAAACGTGGTATGATTATGCCACTGTCAGGGCTCTCTCCTCTTTTAAAAAGTTATTTAAATTATTTGAGGTTTATTGATCAATTTTTTTTTATATTAATGTTTTTATCAAAATTTAAAATGCATTTTCTTTTGAACTCTGTTTTGAACATTTATATTCTTAAGGCTTCTATAAAGATATTTCAGTTTAGTTAATAAAAATATATGTCATTTAACTATTTACGACAGTCTGATTTTTACAGAATTAATGTTAATTTTTATTTCGCTAGAAAAACTTTAAGATCCTCTTACTACTATCATTATAAATACTCTCAGGTTGAAATAAAAATGAATAAGGGGTAAAATATAAACTTTATTTACACTGAAAAAATAATCCATGAAGGTTATAAATACCATAAAGACAAATCTTCATAAAAAGTCGTAGTATTTCCGTCCTAAATTTACAATATTTTCTTTCTTATGGCTAAATTAGCATACATTCTATTATAATACTGTCTTAACATTGTTTTATACCAAAACTTAAATGAGAACAAAAACTAAATCACAAATAAGCCTCAAATTGATATTAATTGAAAAAGCAGTCAATTTGACTCAGTCAATGAAGCTTTACAATTATGTATTTATAATGCAAAAATAAACAGTAATATTACTATACCTACTTATACAAATTAATATGAAATTATAAATAAAGTTTTCTTTAAGATATTTGATCTTTTTAAAAAGGCTTGTAGCTTGTAACTTCGTTAAATTTCCTTTCCAATTTTTTATCGAAACGATAACCCGTTATATATCCCGATACGAAGCAAGTTCTACTGGTGTAAGCTTTCTTGGCACTCATATTTAAATAATATTTACCACCAAAACCAGTAATCTTTTATTAACTACGAAGAACGATGTATGACTATGAATAATTAATTATTTTCGAAATTTTCACATTCACTCCAGTGTAATACTAGGACTCTTCTCTACACCAGCGCCGCTCTAGCGACAAACTAAACCAACAGGAAAAATATTATACTTAAGGTCGATTCAGACACATCAGTCCCGTCATAGTCTCGGCGCCGAACCGATCCTGTTTGGTCACAGAACTATCAACTATCTGACAGCTGTGAAACTGTTTGTCAACTGATGAGTGTGAACGCCGGCAACATTTTGTATTAAAGAATATTTTGTATGACGGATTGTTCGGTTCGGCGCAATCACTGTGACGAGACGTGACTGATGTGTCTGAATCGACCTTTACACACATTTCAAGGTCGCCTAATCTTGATCCTTTAGAGGTCTCCATATTAAAAACGGTTCTCCTTAAATTCAAGATGGCGGCTAACGCAACGATTGGATTTAGTCGCGATTTTGAATTTATACTACTATTGACCCCCCTAAAGTTTAGAATATTAAAATTTGGAGCTCACCATGCAAGGTTAAGTATTTTTTTTTCGTATAATAAGACTGGACTATATGGCGCAATAAAAACATTGGTCTTGAGGTTAAATCAAAAATATGCAAAGCTGCTGTAAGGCCTAGAATGACATACACCGCCGAAACTAGACCAGAAACAATCAAATTCAAAAGATTTCTTAAAACAGCAGAAATGAAGGTACTTTGTGGCATAGCTGGAAAGACTCTTATATATAGAGAAACAAGTGAAAACTGAAAACATAAAAAGTATATGTGGGATAGAGATATTAATGACTGGGTGCTAAACGGGAAAAAGTAGTGGAATGAACATATTGGCAGAAACTTTATACAAATTCGTTGCTCGGATCTCTCATTTTTCACAGATACTAAAGTGCGACGAATGCAAAAAAAGATAATTTAACAAAAGCATGCTATTACGAAATGTTGTAAACACTTCCCATTGTTACCGCTTACGTACCTAATATTCATCGAGCAAAAAGACAAAAGAGGGAATGTAAAGGTAGTGGGGGCAAACATATTGTTAGACAGGAAGTGCAATCTTTAGAGGCCACATTAAACAAGGAAAGAGAGTATCTCTCCTTGTTTGACATCAAATTTAGTTGGGTTATGTTATTGTTTGTCCCAAATGTCACACGAAATCTTATTTATATTAAAGTTTTTTAACAATTGTGTCCCATTTTAGACCCTTATCATTAATAATTAATTAAAACTTTCTCGTCTAAGACACATTCTGAAAAATATTATATAGCTACTGTTGATAAGTGTCAGAAAATTTAAATTTGGCGCATTCGCATTTCCGGATATGTCCGCCATCAGAGGCCACTTTTTTGGTCTCCTTTTCATAAGGATTAGATTCCCTCTTTTGTCTTATTGCTCGATGCTAATATCACATAGAGGGCACTGGAACATTTTGGCGCGAATTTATGAAAGTCTGTTATTTATAGGACACTCATATATTTTAGTGGTGTTATGAGAAATGTTTCTACATTTAATTATATAAATTTTCATGTGAAAACAGTAGTGCTACAACTTGTTTAATAACTGTTCACATTTACTTATATGAATAAATAAAAAATAAACTTTATAGTTTGTTTTTGATTTATTCATTTGGCTTTTTTATTGTTATGCTTAATAAGTATTATTCTTTTAGATATGATTTTATTGCAAGATTTACAAAAAGCCATTAAAACAGCAACAAAAGAAGTTCAAGGTATTATTACTAACATAGAAACACTTCAAAGACTTTTTGGAAAGAAGAAAAGAGAATTTAGCGTTCCAGAAGAACTTTCTGAAGAAATAATTGAAGCTCTAAGGTCCCTTACTCAAATGCGAGTTAAAGAAATTTTCAGAAATAGCTCCTATGATAAGCTTAGTAGAGATAATGCGCTGACAGAAGTAAGGACTGATGTATTAGATAAAATTAAATCAGGTTTTGTGAATATAGACATTAATCTTGTGAATGACTGTTATAATAAGATAGTTAAACAAGCATTTCGTGATTTGATATTTGAAGAAGAAAGAAGGTGCGATGGTAGAGATTTCGCTCAACTCAGAGATATTTCCTGTAAAGTGAACATGTACAAACCTTTGCATGGGTGTTCACTGTTTCAGAGGGGACAAACGCAGGTATTTTGTACTGTTACATTAGATTCACACGATAGTGCCCTTAAATTGGATCCATTGAGTATATTGACCAGGTAAAGTCTATATTTCTAATAATTTGTGTTGTTTTAGAGGACAAAATTGTATTTAAAAGTGGTGTGGTTTCGGTGTTGAACTTGGCCTAATAATTTTAACGACTTCCTTTAATGTATTCATTTTAATTTTTTTTACTTATCCATATAAATATTCTCCTGTCCACATCTATCTCATATTGTACAGTACTATGGATACTATGGGATCTTATAACATTTGTCTTTCAATTACACACTATCTGTCATATAACGTACTACGTACTCACCTTCGTCCATGTCATCCATCGCGCTTTAACTCTACTGCATGTATCTCAATCTATTTCCTCATTACTAGGTAAAATAAATGAAACTTGATGTCTCTACATACCGTTACCTCCTACCGCCGGTCGGTCAGGTTCCACCTCGGCACAGGCACCAGAAATGTTTTATTGTTTAATTTAAACGAGCCGCCGCTATATTTCGGAGGGCACGTAAAACCGTTGATCCCGGCTACCTAACTAGTCGTTAGTTAATTTTAATAGCCAATTGGCTGCAGTACGACCGGCTATAATAAACGGCTTTTGAAAAAAAAAAAACAAAATACCTCCTATGTCCATACTTCGAATACCCTATCCTGATATATCTTGTATGTAATGCTGTTAGCTCTGAGATACACCTCCTTTTTTTTCAGAGGGTGAAAATTTTTAAAAGATACACCTCACCCAAAATTCCTAATGGAAAGTCTCTTTGCTTCTCGAACATTTTACTCAGATGATCTCTTAAAGAGATGTCATCATATTAGTATTATTTTGTTGATTTCAAAGAATATTGAGAGTCTCGTTCCTACCTTTGCTGGAGACGGTCGCATAAATTTGTTTTTCTAGTACAAAAATATCTATTATTATAGTTACCAGTTCTTATTGGAAACTATATCGTTAATTACTAATATTAATTATCAGTTTTCTAAAAACGCAAACAAAATAAAACAAGTGCTATTTCCAAACGCCAAATACCGGCAAATAAAAGTCATAGGCGTATCATAAATAATTGATCGCGATGTATAAAATATTTAATCGTGATACATAGATGGATGGACATAGAAAATCCGTTCTTAAATTCAAACAAAGTGAGCAGATCTCCGCCGAGAAGTTCAACTTCAGAAAAACACATTGCTAATCTGCAAATAACTACCATGCAACAACCATCGAGCAACAGAACCTTGTCTAGCGAACAACAAAGCAATGAAAATTGCTCAACCAATATACTACTCCAAGAGACAGAGTCAACTGAAAATCAACATGAACAACCAGGTAACTCTTTTCTTTCTAATCAGGCTTCTTCTTCCTCTTCTTATCTACCGTCACAAATATACATCGCTAATCCACAAGATAGCCAAGAAAACCAAGATCAAGAATGGAAAACTGTTCAAGCCCACAAACGAGCAAGAATGACAGCCCTGGAGGTGATAAACAACTAAAACAAACAGTAATGAGCGATTACTGGCTCAAAGCACCCAGACCTACGTCTAATAGATTTGCTAGCTTAGATGAAGTACATCTACAGAAGAACCAACTTATTGGCCTACAGATCCAAATACAACACCAGATCTCTTAAACTTCTGTGTGATTAAAGGTATTTCTCTTAACTATTTAGCAATAGAATTATGCTGGGACCTCTCTTCAGATCATTCTCCCATTCTAATTGACCTAGACCACAAAATCATACTCAGAAATAAGCCTCCAGTCCTAACCAATAATCAAACAAATTGGAAAATATTCCGAAGCGCACTAGCAGAACAAATACAACGAACTTGCCACTTAAAACTGAATTACAAATTGAAAATGCGGTACAACAACTTACTACCTCCATACAAAAGGCAGGTTGGATTTCTACTCCTGAACAAACAACATGGAAGGAAAGCATAAACTGTTCGCAAAGTGCAAAAAACCTGATCGATGAAAAGAGAAAACTTAGGAAAAAGTGGCAAAACACACACGCTCCTATTGACAAAAAAAAATTTAAACAGAATTACCAGAAGACTTAAAATCTATTAAAAGAAGAGAAAAACAGGGGGATCCAAACTTACTTAGAAAATTTGACTTCGTCCAAAGACACCAATTATTCTCTATGGAAGGCGACGAGAAAGGTAAAAGGTCCAAAAGACGCCATACCTCCTCTAAAAAATATCAAAGGTAAATGGGCAAGAACAGACACAGAAAAATCTGAGACATTCGCTGAACATCTTTCTACAGTATTTAGTCCATTTAACAGAGTAGTGCCATTAGAACAAGAAGAACCATTTAATTCTTTTCTCGAGGCTCCATATCAAATGGAATTACCAATCACCAAGTTTAATATTAAAGAAGTAAAACAGATAATAAAGAATGAGATACAACCCAATAAGGCTCCGGGATTTGACCTCATAACGGGTAAGATCCTTCAGGAACTAACCAATGTTACAGAATAATCACTATGATCTTCAATGCTATGCTTAGTCTGAATTACTTCCCTCTGCAATGGAAAATGGCACAGATTATACTCATTCAAAAACCTGGTAAAGATCCAAAAGATGTCAACTCATACCGACCGATTAGTCTACACCCAGTCATCCCTAAGATCTTTGAAAATCTTTTGCTACGAAAAATCAAACCAATATTGGACGAAAAGTGTCTCATACCTGACCATCAATTCGGTTTTCGTAACCAACATAGTACAATCGAACAAGTTCACAGACTATACACAACAATAAGAAGTAGTCTCGAGAACAAGCAGTACTGTACTGCAGCCTTTTTAGACGCCTCCCAAGGTTTTGACAAGGTGTGGCATACAGGACTTCTGTACAAATTAAAGAAAAATTTACCTTACCCTTACTTTAAACTGCTTCAATCGTACCTTACAGAAAGGAGATATCTGGTAAAATATAGTGAAGCCTATACAAAACTCTACCCTATCCTATCTGGTGTACCTCAGGGTAGTGTGCTCGGACCGATTCTGTACCTGATATATACGGCTGACTTGCCAATTAGCAATAACCTAACGCTTGCAACATTCGCAGATGATACTGCTTTCTTGGCCTCTCATAGCAACCCAATAATAGCATCAGAGAGACTGTAACTACATCTTAACAAAACAAATGAATGGCTTAAACTCTGGAGAATTAGAGTAAACCCCTCAAAATTCACACAAATTACATTCACTCTAAAAAGAGGTACATGTCTACAAGTTAACCTCAATGGACATGCTTTGCCCCAAAAGCATGACGTAAAATACTTAGGTATTCACCTTGACAAACGTCTAACTTGGACCAAACATATATGGACGAAAAGGCTTCAATTGGGAATTTTATACAGAAAACTTTACCGGATGTTGGGAAAAAACTCTCACTTATCGATCGACAACAAGCTGTTGATATACAATACAATAATAAAACCCATTTGGACATATGGCTCGCAGCTCTGGGGTTCGGCTAGCAAATCTAATATTATGATAATACAAAGATTTCAATCCAAAACTCTGAGAACAATCGCTAATGCACGTTGGTATATCCAGAATGATGCAATACATAGAGATCTTCAGGTACTAACAGTCTCTGAAGAGTGCAAAAAATCTTCTGAACAATATCAAAACAGGTTGCGGGTGCATCCTAATACCCTGGCACACAATCTTCTCAACAACCAACAAGCGAAGAGATTGAAGCGACATGACCCCTTGGACCTACCTCACCGATCCTGACAGAGCCTACAGCAGTGGGAGTTACGCCTTCAACAGCACTCAGCCATTGTGATCAATGCCGCTTTAGTGCTCGCGTATCAGTGTAATATGTGCGCATCCTACCGGTAAACAAGCCAATTTGTGTCGAGATGATTTGGTCACTGGACCTTAGTGTCATGTAAAGACAAAAAATTTTACTTATTGTTTTCACTGCAAAACATATTGTAAAAATCTTAAATGTTAATAAAAAAAAATCAAAGAATATCTTCGGTATTATGATCTGAAATTATTTTCTAGCATTTGATGCCTGAATACCTTTCTGTCACCATCAAGACCGGTCGTCCAGCACAATGCATTGAAAGTTATCATCACCATTTGGCGCTACAGCCCTTTGGGAGCCCTGGCCTGTTTTAAAAACATTCTTCCCTGTCGAGTGTCTGTCTTCTCTATCCCCTTACTCCAATATCACTTAAATCTTCCTGCACATCGTCCAGATATTTGAGTTTAGGTCGCTCCCCTTCTTCTGACAGGCTTATTTAGCATGTTTATTTTAACAGTATCACTTCATCTATCCGCATAACGTGGTCCACCCATCTTAGGCATTTTATTTTGATGGTTCTTCGAACTCGAACTCTAGTTCGAAATTATATCGGCTTCTCCACAGACCCTTTTCGTTAACTCCGCCATTTATGGTCCTCAATACTTTTCTTTCAAAGATTCGTAATAACTCTTCATTTCGAGTCGTCATTACCCGTGGTTCTGATTCGTAAGTGAGCACTGGGCGTATTATTGTTTTATAAAGTTTGCACTTACAGCATTTGTTGCTCTTGGCATATTTCTCTCTCTTAGTTGAGGACCTAGGTCAAAATAACAATTTCTTATTTCTTTGAATGTGTTGTTTTTGCAGTCTACCAGTGATCCTAAGTAGCAGAATTATTCCACTGTTCCTATAGTTTCGTGTTGTTTCGTGTATAAGTCAGATGTTTTCTGTGGCGTTTTTGATGTGTGTGAAAGCTTCAACTGCTTCATTTCGGGATTTCCAATGATCACTATATCATCAGCATATGCCATTATTTATATACTACGGGTATATATCGTACCTTTTAAGTTTATTCCCGAATCTATCATAATTTCTTTTAAAACACTAAGTTGAAAAGCGTGCATGATAGCGCATCTCCCTGGCGCAGTTCTCTATTAGCTGTAAATGATTCTGAAATATTCCCTTGGACCCGCATTTTACATTCAACTTTCCTCATTGTCATTTTAGTTAATTCTACAAATCCTTTTGATATTCCAAATTAGATCATAGCCGAATATAATTGGGGTATGTCAAGAGTATCGTACGCTGCTTTAAAATATACGAAGGTGTAATTGTCGTACTCCGTCGATTTTTATGATGGATGATATGTGATCAATGGTAGATCTGTTTTTCAAAAAGCCTCGTTATTAGAATCCTATTATATTGTCAGTATACTGTGCCAGTCGTTCGTTAAGTATCCGGCACAATATTTTTGTATTCCGTATTAAGAAGGAAAATCACGGAACAGTCAACCACGTTTCCTTATTTGTATATTGGGCATATAATTCCAGTATTCCAATTTTCTGGTAAAACGCCTTTTTGTCGTATCTGTATTAATAGTTAGTGAAAGATTACACATGTTTGACCGCCACATTTAAATTTTTCTGCGGGTAAGTTGTCTGCTCTTGACTTGTTTCTGGCTAGAGACTGAATTGCTTTATTCATTTGTTCCAAAGTTCATAGCTCAGTTTTCCCCTATTCTATCCCAGATCTACTTTCTCCATTAAGTAGCGTACCAAAAATTTGCCTTCTGACATGTCAATCTTTACAGATTAATTTCCTGATATACCTTCGTCATCTTACATTCGGAGAAGTAGCTTTGAAAACATTTGGCGCCTTTACCGTAATTAAAAAATAACGGATGCATATAGCTTTTATTTTATAAATATGCGCGCCTTTTTTTATACGCCTTTCTAAAGGCAATAAGCAATAGTATTTAAATTTTCAGTGGAGTTAAAGAAAAGAATTTCTTCCTCCATTACGAATTTCCACCGTTCGCTACAAAAGAAACAGGAAAAATAGGTCCTATTGGTCGAAGAGAGATGGGCCATGGTGCTTTGGCAGAAAAAGCTCTAACTCCTGTCGTTCCGGGAGATTTTCCATTTACTGTAAGACTGACATCAGAAGTTTTAGAATCAAATGGTAAATATTTTGGAATATATAATACAATTTTGTAGGTATATGAATAATTTTTTAGGTTCAAGTTCAATGGCTACTGTTTGTGGAGGAAGTTTAGCGTTAATGGATGCAGGCGTACCACTTTCAACTCCTGTAGCTGGGGTCGCTATAGGTTTAGTAACTAAATATGATGCCGAACAAAAATCTATTGAGGATTATAGAGTTTTAACAGATATATTAGTAAGTATAAGTTTTGATATATATATATATATATATATATATATATATATATATAATTGCTAAAAGGACCAATATCGATTTTTGTTAGCAATTTTATTATCATATACTACTACTAACAGATTGTGTCTTTTGTTATGTTTTGGTACCAATGCTTATTTAAGATATATTTTTTGGGTTGGTAACCTGTCAAGTAAGAGGTTAGAACATGGCTGCCAGTTCGAGGGTTTAAGGTTAGTTGTAAAGTATCACTTTAATAGTTATTAAAGTTTGTTCTCGTTCAACTATTCCTTTTACTAATACACAACATTTTTTCCATGAATTATTTGCAGGATGTAAAATATAGTAAACAAGAATTTGAATTATCCGTCGGACGTAAGTTATGAAGATTCTTAACACAGATGTATTACTTTAGTTTCACACGTTAATTTGGATATGGAATATGGTTACGGGAACATTCGATTTAATATCAAATACCAACGATGTTTTCATTATTGTGTGTGATACTATAACCCTAGTAAACCTAAATCTTTCTTAGTCGATTACGTCAGTCGTTTCTTTTCAGTGTCACCAATCTTCCTAGTATCCTGTATTTTTTATTAATTAAAGATCTTAATTCTTTAAATTGCCTATAGATCTCGTTTTCTCCAGATGTTGTTTTGACATAATGCTCCAAGTATTATTTGTATCCTTCGAAGATGAGTAGGTAATTTGCCATCTGATGTTTCTGCTATTTAGGTGTTTGCTTAATTAGGTAACACCTGTTTGCTAGTAGAGTTCTTTTTTATTTTCTCCGTTCTGAATTTCTCCGGAGTTATCCGTTGTGAATTACCTCATAATTTTCACCATTGTTTTTATCTTTAGTTCTATTGTTCGCAATTGACTTCGTACTTTGGTTTAAGGAGATAAACGCTTCTTTACGTTTTCGGTCTGTCAGAGCGATAAAGGCCAGATCATCAGCGTATGCTATACTTTGAATCTGTAGCTTCCACGACCGGTGTTTTGCAATGATACATTGATAACCAGGTGTTACAGTTTTAACATATCATCAATAATTCCTTACTGGTCATGAAATGTTTTTTCCTAGTATTAACCGCTTGCAATTTCATTAGAAAAATGAGTTTTAATGTCTACCAAGAAGTGCGTCAGTAAGGTTTGTTTGTTTTCGGAACTTGTAAAAGGGCAATAAATCTTTCAACTTTATTGTTCTATGTTATTCATTTATTCATTTTCTTCATAAATGTATTGAAAAAATTTCTTTTTTATGGAATTATAATCCACTGTAAAATACGTAAAAGTTCGTTACAGTCGTTAAATACGTTAAATTTGGCGGCTTTGCTCTTTTCTATAAATTAGTGGATTGGAGCGGTATTTTAAGATTCCTTTAAGTGCCCAACTGCATAACATCTCGGGCACTTTTCATGCTAACTAAATATAATTTTAATTCACTTCGCAAATACACGCGCACTAAGTAAATTTCTTTCGTATAAAGCAGAAAAGTAAGAAGTTGTGAAGTGCTTTTAAATTCATCGAAAATTTATTATTACCACTTTGACTTAAGAAATTGTTTCGATGAAGGATTATTTAATCTAAGTCATACTTAGCTAGTTCCAACGTATTGCTAGCTTATTTTGTTGTAAAAGGGAGACATCTCACAACACCAGGTTTATATGCTGTGTCCTGGAGCTATTTCTTCCTGATTCTCCGATTTGTAGTACAACTGACATCAAAGGCGATGCGGTATTGATACGAGTTGTCTTACTAATTGAAGCTTGTCGCTAACTATCATAATATACATGATAATTTAGTTCAACTCAATTAATTGTTTTAGGGCATCGAAGATTATATGGGTGATATGGATTTTAAAATTGCTGGTAATAAAAAAGGCATAACCGCATTGCAAGCTGATATTAAAATTCCCGGATTACCTTTGAAAATTGTTATGGAGTCCTTACAAAGTGCTGTAGATGCCAAACACAAAATTCTCCAAATCATGCACAACTGCATAGAAAACCCAAGGTACTTTAAACTTTCTAAAAATTTACAGATTTTTCATTACTTTTAAAATCTTAAAGACGGGAAGTAACTTTCACAAAGTTATTTATTTTTGCTAACATTCTTTCGAAATTTTATTTATGATGAAATCATCTGGCTTTGTAACTTTTTCACAGTACTGATTATAATATTACAAAAATCAAGATTTATCTTCTTGAAGTTCTTTTTTCTATCGTAGTTTTGAAATCGCTATGGCGCTTCTAATTTTATTCACAGCTTTTCTGAATAATTAAGTCGAAGTACCTTAAATTTCAAAGAAATTCTTCTTCCTGTTCCCCTTATATATATATATATATATATATATATATATAATATATATATATATATATATATATATATATATATATATATATGTGTGTGTGTGTGTGTGTGCATATATAATTATATGATCAAAGTGTCCTAGTTTTCTATTCTTCACTGTTCACATTATTTCCTTTTGTTTGTTCATTCTTCGCAACACTTTTTCATTTGTACTACAGTCTATCCATGGCATAATATAATGATGGTATAGTATAATGTTCTACAAAATAAATTAAATTTAAGAAGTTATTAAATAAAATTATGGGATCTTATAAAATTCGGAAAAATAGAAAACTGGGGCACTTTGGTCATATAATAGGTGAAACCAGTTATGCAATGCTACGACTAATAGTGGGAGGAAATATAATTGCCAAGCGCAGTAGAACAATATGCTACGGTAGCCCCACCGAAAATTTAATTTATGTAGATCTGATTTTTTCAACATACGTAGTTGAACGCCTTACAATAATGTGGAGAATGCATAGCATCGTAATAGCTTTCTTCTTAATTTAAATGTTATCTCCATTGGTTAATAGTTTTTTCATTTTCAAGATCACTCGTCCTATTTCTACACGGCATCTAATCTTTACCAAGGTACTTGTATTGTTCTGATTTTTGTTTCAATATATTATAAATAATTAATACTGCTACATTATTGTTTGAAGGATTTTTAGGACTTTCAAAATTTTGTTTTCTTTAAATTCATCTTTATTCCATAGATATTACATTTGCAATTCAGATGTTCTTGTATTCTATAAATGACTTAAATTATCTGCAATTATATCCGTATCATCATAGTCATCATGATCATCTGTGACCACTGACAGCCTATGGAGGGCCATGATCGCCCGTTAGGTTTTCTAGGATTTAAAGTTTTACATGGTGTGGAGGCCAGACACACGCATAACTCCTCAAAAAATACAACGTTTTAACAAAATACAATACAAAATCGGTAGTTACTAGTTTGTCTTCTTTGAAAAGATCATGTCAGTGTCATGTATATTTTGCTTCTTTAACTATAGTTGACCATGTATGTCGTCAACCACGAATGATCTTCCTCGAGGATCTGCGCTATATGTGTAGTAAAGTACCATAATTGTAGCGAGTGACTCATGTTGTGATGGTTTCTTATATTCTTGTAAAATTTGAGGTTTTCCCTTTAGAAAAACATATTTTTGGTGTTGGAATACCTACAAAAGGAGAAAATTTAATTACTATTTAATAAAAAAATTAGTGAATTATTGCATAATCTGTTTAATCTCTTGTGTAACATGCAATATCTTGTGAATCATACATGTAACGTTGTTAGCCTGTATGATTCAACTTAAAGATATCTGCAATGTTGTAGTTTATATTATCTTTCTCTAATGGTATGTAATGTCCGAGATCAACAAATGTCGTCGCAGGTTAAGGCGATGTAACTGACAACAACGTTTATTATTGTATGTTGTCTATGTCAGTGTCATAAGCGCATTGACAGGGCTTGTATAAAGTAGAAATAGAATTATTTGTAGTATTATTAGTGAAAGGCTCTTTTACGTTTACTTTTTGTGAATTGAGTAATTTAGTTTAATTCAGTTTAGTGACAAATATTAAATATGACTGACAATAGTAATAGTGAACCGTACATCAAAAATAAACGTCACAATTTAACACCCGAAGAAAAAACTATGATCGGAAATGTGTTTGAAGGACTTCGAGCCAGAGAACAAAATATGAATGTAAGCTATGTAATTACATTATGTAGTATTTTGACAAAAGTTTCCGAAGCTGGTGTGTACAGAGTAATTAAAACAGACGATGAAACAAACGATAATAATACTTTGAAGATTGAGACAAGAGGAAGAAAACAAATAAAACTGGATGATACAATGAAACATGTGATTCGTCGTATAGTGATGGATTTTATTTCAAAAAGGAATTACCAACTATAAAAAAAATGTTTCTCCTCTTTAATCCAATGAAAATATTTCAAAAATATCAAGACGTGTTTTGTTACGTGCTTTATGTAAAATGAATTTAGGTATTAAAAGAAAAAGACGAATAGTAACCTTATTGATAAGGAAGAAATCATTTTATGACACAGAAAGTATCTGAAACAAGTAGCAACATTTCGAAGAAATGACAATAAAACATATTGTACACATGAAACATGGTTAAATGAAAGACATTATGTAACAAAAATTTGGCAGGATTTAAATGTGAAAAACAAACGACAAGCTTTGTTAGATGGTTTTTCGACAGTTTTAAAAGCCCTGTCTGGAAATGGAAAACGTCCTGTTATTAGACATATTAGTAGCGACTCAGGATTTGTTGAAGGTGGTTTAAATGCATTTGTTTCTAAAAAGACTATAGATTACCATGAGAAAATGGATATAAATCATTATGAAAAATAGTTTTCAGATATTTTGTTAAAAATCGAACCAGGATCTGTTATTGTTATGGATAATCACTGCCGGCGTGTAGAAAAGTTACCAACCGCTAAATGGAGAAAAGCCGAGATTGCGGATTGGCTGACTTAAAGAATATATTAAATTCAATGGACCAATTTGAAAATTGAGTTAATAAACTTAGCACGGTTTCATAAACATAAATATATTAAATATGTAGTAGATAAAATGGCACGAGAACGAGGGGTAATTGTAGTTCGATTGTCGACATATCATTGTGAGTTAAACCCGATAGAACTTATATGGACTCAAATAAAAACTGAAGTAGCAAGCATCATTGTTACTTTCAAATTAAATTATATAAAAAATCTGCTTAATAGTGCCGTCAGCAATGTGACTCACAGTCGTGGATAAAATGTATCGAGCATGTAGGGAAAGAAGAGCATAATATGTAAAACCTTGATAATTTCATTGAAATTACCATGTAACCAGTAGTTGTGGATCTAGGCGAAGATACTACTGATGAATCTGAAGATGGCATAGCTGATTCAGATTATATTATATATAATGTTACGATATATACGATTAAATTTAATCCTTGAATCAGCCGTAAAGCTATTCATTTAAACGGATAAAGGGGTTTTCCCAAAAAATATGTTTAACAAGGATTAGTTTTCTTCATTTAAGGCATCCATAAAATAAGAAAATTTTTATGACAATCAATTCGTTTTAATTTCCTGTTTTTTTTTTAAATAATAACCGCACGTTTGTAACTCGTCGATTTCCTTTCCCTTCAGTCTCCAAAGGTCTACATTGAAAATATGAGTGACTATCTACAATTGTGGTACTATGGCATAGCGGTCGTGTGCCGGTCCTTGCGGACAACAGGGAATGGTTTTTGAAGATTTTGATTGATTGCACTACGCAGTACTGCGAGAGGTATGGAATGGCCCAACAAAAGTCATGATTGTCAGTAATTACAAGATTGAAGACGAAACAATAGACGTTAAAGGAAAAGCTTTAAAGAAAATATTCAGATGCAACTACCTGGGACGTGAGCTAAATGAACAATGGGTCTATAGCCTTGAAATAAAACGACGCATTGAGATGGCCAGAAACGTTTTTAGTAAGATGAAAGCACTATTATGCAATTGAAAACTAGGAATAGAATTTAGAATTAGATTATTGAGATGTTACATATTTTCTGCCCTGTTGTGTGAAGTTGAAACCTGGATAATTGAGGATGAAACTGATAAAGACTTGCTATCTTTGAGATGTGGTATTATCGAAGAATGTGAAAAATATCACATTGAATGTGAAGATATCACTAAAAGAAAAAAAATATGCATATAAACTTATGCAACAAAGAAGAACACGGGATAAGGAGCAAATGTACAAAGATCTTAGGAAGGAGGAAAAACGCATACATCGAAGGAAAAAGCGGACCTTCGAAAACCAGATTATGCAAGAGCTTCAATCATTAAAGGGGCAAAATGAAACTAGAAAGTTCTATAATATCCTAAATAAGACAAGAAAAGAATTTAAACCACGGCTGACGATGTGTAGAGACAAAAATGGACATATAGTCAGTACCGCTGACGCAGTACAAAGCAGATGGGTTGAGCACTTCAAAGAACTACTTGGTACCGAAGTGGAAAATGATGCGTCACCCCAAAGACCAAGAAATAACACTCACGTAGAACCTCCTTCAATATTTGAAGTGAAAGACGCAATCACACGACTCAAAAATAGCAAGTCCCCAGGAGTGGATTGTATCTCCGCAGAGCTCATCAAACATGGAGGTAACAGCATTATGCACCAAATTCACAACATAATAGTCAAAGTCTGGGAAGAAGAAAAAATGCCAGAGGAATGGTGCACTGGAATCATATGTCCACTACACAAAAAGGGAGATTTGTTGGAATGTAAAAATTATAGGGGTATAACTCTTCTGAATACAATGTACAAAATATTCTCCAACACCCTGTACAGCCGTTTAAGTACGTAAGTGGAAGAAATCCTTGGTGAGTATCAAAGCGGTTTTAGGCCAGGTAGGTCAACAATTGACCAGATTTTTGTGCTACGTCAAATCTTAGAAAAAACCAATGAATTTAATATTGACACGTTCCATCTCTTTGTGGACTTTAAGTCAGCGTATGATAGCGTCCTAAGAGGTAAATTATACGAAGCTATGAATGAACTTAACATTCCCCATAAATTAATAAGGCTCGTAAAAACAACTATGAGTAAAGTGATCTGCAGAGTGCAAATACA